TTTAAGATCTTTGAACTTCGTATAGAAAAATGGAGGTAGCAAATCCAGTTGATAATGAACAAACTCGATTAGTTAATCGACAAGGAACAACATCCTACCATGGATTGCTTGATCCACGTGGACCATATCTTAAATGGGTTGCCGTATTTTTTATGTGCTTTTTATCATTTGGTAAAAATGAATTTTTTTTATTAAGAAATTTTTTTATTGAATTTTTTTGTTAGGATCTTATTATTGTTATGATAATCCGGCTGGTTTGGAAGATGTAATGAAATCAGATTTAAAAATTTCTTCATCAACTTTTACATCATTTTATTCTTGGTATTCATGGCCAAATGTCGTGTAAGTTAAATAATATCATATAAAATTTTTATTTTGAAATCAAATAGACTTGCTGCTGTTGGTGGTATATTAATCGATAAATGGCTTGGTGTAGCTCGTGGTGCAGCTATATTTTGTGGTTTTATTCTTGTTGGACAAGTTATTTTCGGTCTTGGTGGTTATTTTCGCTTAATATGGCTTATGGATGCTGGTCGTTTTGTATTTGGTATTGGTGGTGAATCATTATCAAGTGCACAAAATGCATATGCTGTTGCATGGTTTTTTGGAAAACAATTGAATTTTGTATTTGGCTTACAACTTTCATTTGCTCGTGTTGTATGTAGAGTTAATTTTATGTGATAAGGAAGAAAACGAAGAATTGTTTTCATTTTTAAGGGAAGCTTAGTAAATATGAATACAATTCATCGAATTTATGATTCACTGGATAAAGATTTAACTGGTCCACATCGTATTGGTACAACACTTTTAATTGCTGTTTCAACTTGTCTTGTTTCACTTGTATGTGCACTTGTTCTTTGGACATTAGATATTCGACGACGAAAAGTTATACGAGAAGATCATCCACATGATCCAGGTTTGAATATAAACGTTTTTTTGCTTTTTATTTTTGTTTGATAGTTTAAAATTTTTTTTGTTTCTAGCTGATGAATTTCATATTAGAGGTATGTTTTAATAAAATTATAAAAGAAAAGATTCTATTTTTCTTTTGGATTTTAGATATTCGACATTTTTCAGCTTCCCTTTATTGCGTTTTTATTATTTGTGTATTTTATTATGTTGCAATATTTCCATTTATTGCTGCTGCACAATTACTTTTCGAATCAAAATACAATTTATCACCTGCTTGGTCAAATGCGTGCAATAGTTTAGTTTATTTTATGTGTGTTCAAAACTGAGAATATACGAAGAAATAATAAGAGAACTTTCTTTTTTTTAAGGTCAGCTATTCTTTCACCAATACTTGGCTATGTTGTTGATAAAACTGGTAGAAATCTTTATTGGTTAATGGGCAGTATAACAACAACAATAATTGCTCATGCTCTTCTTGCATTTCTTTTTGTTCATCCAGTTGTACCTCTTGTTTTAATGGGCATATCTTATTCAATATTAGCTGCATCATTATGGCCAATGGTCGCTTTTCTTGTTCCTAAAAAAATGTTAGGTACAGCCTATGGTTTTATGCAATCAATTCAAAATCTAGGTCTTGCTGTAATGTATGTAGTTTTGATTTTGCTTCTTATTTTCAAATATCAATCTCTCTCTCTTTTTGATTTACTCTATTAGGAATATATTTACTGGTTTAATTCTTGATAGTTATGGTTATTTTATGCTTGAAGTGTTTTTTATCATATGTCTTGAAGTAGCATTATTAGCTTCTGCATTTCTTTACGTATATAATTCAATAAAGAAAGGTATGCTCAATGATTCGCCATCTGTACGACAGGCTAAACAAGAATTAATTGATGGTAAAACAAATGCTACAGTAAATGCCACAGTGAATTCACCAATATCGCCTGATGAAGATAATGAAAAAGTTTCTCGTGAATAACAAATTTTTTTATTCATATATACGTAACAAAAAAGTCTTTCAAAGCGTTAATTGTCTTTTTTTTCATGTCTTGATGATTTATTTTTAACATTTGATTATATTAAAAAAACGCCATTGCAGTTTGAATGATTATTCAGTTTTTTTTTATTTAAAGAAAGTTTTCAGATTACATTAAAAAAATGTTTTCTGCATTACGATCAAGAACATTTTGTCAGAATTGTTGGTCTATTCCTCGTTCATTAAAACTTTTTGAACGACAGACAATTAAAATAAATAATCGTACATTTACATTTTCTGCTTTGTATTTTCAACAACAACAACAACAAACACCTAATAATAGTCCTTCATCATCATCGAAATTATCTTCATTAATGGGTGAACATGATAATAAAACACCATTTATATTTTCTAAAACAACATCAGATGCAAAATATACCAAAGATCATACTGATGAAGAAAAGCATGAACGTGAAGCTCGAGCAGCTTGGGATGTACGTATGTTGAAATATACAGGATATTTTCTTGGTATATGGTTATTTTCAACACTTGGTTATATTATTCTTGTTTGGGGTACACCACAAATTGATGAACATGGAAATGTTATACACGATCAATATTCAAATTTACCAATATGGCAACAATATATTAAACGATCATTTCGAGCAGTTATGAATTATTGGCAAACCATTAAAGATCCAACAAGTGATACACTTTTACCTGAACCATTACCAGCACCTTATCAACCAAAATATACATTAGTTATTGAAATGTCAGGAGTTTTATTACATCCAGAATGGGCTTATAATACAGGATGGCGATATAAAAAACGACCAGGATTAGATTATTTTTTAAAAGAAATTGGTTATCCAGTGTATGAAGTCGTTATTTATACAAAAGAAACACCATGGGTATGAAAGAATAGAAATATTTCAATGAAAAAGATTTTTTTCTTTGCGGTTTTTTAAATGTCAAATAGAGAAAAACGATCTCGATTACGGTCTCATGAAAAATTTCTTTTTTTCAAAATCCATTCACATCAATTCTCAATATTTGATTGATCGAATATAAGAGACGCAACGTATTTTGAGTTTTGGTTTGAAATGCTAATTCATTTTGCGACAATAAGACATCTGACTATGGAAAGTTTCATACTGTTAGTAAAGACTATTAGAGAAAATTTTGGTCAAATTAAAGCTCTCACTGCCACACTAACAAATTTAAAATATGAACTACCCATGGTGTGCACTGAGCATGAGGTAATGAATTTTTAAGGTATTTATTGTATATGTAAGATACACACAAATCAAACCTTTTAACACTATTTTTTTTCTTGTTTCATTATGGTTGGCAAGAGCTCGTCGAATAGCATGAGAAAAAGTATTTCAAATTTAAGAAAAAATGTTAAAATGTTTCAAAGAAGTGACAATTGTTTTCGGTCTGTTTCCCTCATATTTGAAGATAATGATATTATGAATTTTTTTCACTAGTTTTTTTAAAGTTTGAAACACATTTTTGCTTGTACAACTCGATCAGCTCTAACCAATCGTCACGAAAAACAGAAAAATAAATAGTATTATAATTTTGACTTGTGGGTATCTTACATACACTGTAGATACCTAAAAAATCCATCATCTTATTCTGTGCATGCCATGTGCAGGTTATGTTTTAAGTTTGCTGGTTTGGCAACAAAAGTTTTAATTTGACTCGAGTATCTCTAATGTTCTTTTCTAACAGTACAAAATCTTCAATTATAAGTAAAATCTTTTGTGTTGGACTCGTCAATCGAAATCTGCACTAGCAGTTATCAAGTAAATTGCTATAACCTGACCGAATTGAATTTCGAGAGGCAAAGATTTTGTCCTTCACTCTAGCTCGCAGTAGTCTATGAGGGCATTTAGATAAACGATATAAATTTGTAAATTTAAAATTTGAATATTGTTGATAGGAGATTGAATATATTATACTGATTATTTCTCATGCAAAAATAACTCATTGTTCGAATAGTCGTACGAGTCTCGAACTATCAGAGATAATTAATTCCTATCTTAATTAAATTTTAACGAAGAAATTATAGTAGAGTAAGAGATAAGATAAGTCGATTTCTATTTGTTTTCTATTTAGTCACCTCGACTAAGATAAAATGACGAAGTAAATATAATATTTTCATTTATTTGAGGATGCTAAAGAGTGTCAACATGAGTCATGTCAGAAATTTTTCGTATTTAAATTATTAATGATCAACTATTTATTCATTTCATCATTATATGAAAAACTATCTGTTTTAAAAGTTTTAAATATTTATTTAAAAAAAAATGAATTACAAAGATTTAGAGGATTATTGTTCTAGGGTGCAGCATCAGTTATAGAAAATATGGATCCTGATCATCGTATAATGTATCGTTTATTTCGTGAAAATACTCGATTTTTAAATGGCACCCATGTTAAAGTAATCACATATTTTTTTTACTTAGTTAAAATAATACAAGCTTTCTTTATTTTAGGATTTATCATGTCTTAATCGTGATTTAAAAAAAATCATTTTCTTAGATTGGGACGAAAAAGCTTATCAATTACAACCACGAAATGCTTTACATCGTTTAAAACAATGGGATGGTGAAGATGATGATAGACAATTACTTCATTTAGCTTCATTTCTTCGAAGTTTGTCTTATTGATTATTGTTTTTGAATAATCCTTGAAGATGTTTTTTTATTATTTCTCTATAGTGATTGCTGTGAGTGGTGTTGATGATGTACGTGATGTACTTGATCATTATAATCAAGAACCAGATCCTATTGAAGCATATTTATTTCGACAACAAAAATTATTTGTATGATTTCAATTATCATTGATTTTTTTTATGCAAAAATGTCTTTTTCTTCGTTTAATTTAGGAATTAGAAGAACAAAAACGTCAGCAAACAGCAGCAGCAAGTTCACCTGTAAAACAATCCAAAGGATTATTTAGTGGTTGGACAAGTTCAAAACGATTTTAAAAAGAAAAATCGTTTTGTTTTCTTTTTTTTCTCTTCTTTTCTCATTATCTCAAGCAGTTATGTTATTGTTCTTGATGATGTTTTCTTTTTTCGTGTCATTATTTCTAGATAAAAATGAGTGTATTAGAGATTCGTCATGAATTTTTTGATATTGACGCACGAAATAATGAACAATTATATCAAGCTTTTTGTAATCATGTCTATTTCGGGCAATGGGAACTATGTCGAATATGTTTACAAACTTTATTTAATAAACGTTTACAACTTAATACAAATTTAGAAGAATTATTAATTGACATCATTAGAAACCCAACTGCTTATTGGTAAGAATAACAATAAACTTTGTGATTATTATTATTTTTTTTTTTATAGCACGGGATCGAAAGCAGTACCAACACCATTTCATTTTTCATTATTATTATTGGAAGAATGTCGAGTTAAACAGTATTTAGATGCGGTATGAGAATTTTTTTAATTTAAAAATAAAATTAATGGAAAATCATGGATTTTTTTCTAGGCAACAATTGAATCACTTAAATATGATGCAATGTACAAATTTCTTTTGGTTGTCGGTGATATCCAACCGAGTGCGCAAGTTGTTCAAGTAAGTAAAAAAAATGACTAGTTTCATCTAGTGATTGAATAATGATTTGAAACAATAATCAGTTTTAGGAAAATAGATTCTTTGAGAACATATATGTTTAAATACCTAATCAATAAAAGTTTCCACCATGCACAGTGTCCCTAAAGTCCGCCATAAAAAAAAACGTAAATATCTTATAATCAGGTCAAGAAATTTATATAACTTGTTTTTTTATAAAATGATAGTATGCTCGTTGAAGCTTTATTCTGTATATTTTACGATAAATGTCAGTGACTACAAATATTAGAATCTAAAGAGTTCTGCTAATTGTCAAATTTGAATAAGGTACAATCTGCGACACAAAAAATGCAAGGCGAGTTTGGCACACAAACGTAAGACGTATTTTGTGAAATTATTACACTAGCAGATCGGCAACGCTTTGAAATACCTTGGAGAGTTACAAAAGCAAAATTGGATGACCTTCATAATGTTTATGATAAAAGTTCCTATTGAGTGTTTTCAACTTATACAACATCTTGACAGTTCAAAAGAATGAGATTTCATTTTCAAAATCTGTTTTATCTTGGAATAAATATAGAAATTCATATTAAAGTCTCAAAGAAATAAGTCTTATAAATTAATAAAGTAAACTGCTTATATGCACGTCGGAAATCTATGGTAATAAGTTCTTTCTCGCTTATAGACATAGCTTTATTACTGAGCGTATAGGTCAGACAAAGAAATTTAGATTAATGAACGACACTTCGAAAGACGTTCATTCTTTAACCAGTATTTGAAAAGAATACAGTTCATGTGTATTTTCTTTATAATAAATTAGTTTTGACCTGAAATCTGGAACCATCGACAATAACCAAAATTAATGAATACATTATACACTGAGTACCGAATCTAATTAAGATAAGATATCGTCTAACTTTTATAAAGTTCTTATTTAAAAGTCTTATCTTTTATACTTAATGATCATCAATATATCTATATATATATATATATATCTTCTTTCTTTCGATTTTATTGTAATCTAAGGAATTCGATCGTCTTCGTACTAATACTGATGATAATTCATTAACTCTTCCAACTGATTCTATGGCTGATTTTCTTGTTGATTTATGGTTACATGAAACTCCACGTGTTTATACTTTTATTCGCTTTTATCTTTATTCTTCAAATCCATCTATGCATTTATGGTTAATACAAATTCATAAACGTGCACTTGATTTATGTTTACAGCAATTAAAAAGTTTAAATAATGAACAACAAAAAATAAATCTTAGTGATTTACTTCTTTCATTACATTTCTATTCATGGGATATAAATGAATTTCGTATAATAATCCGTGATACATTAAAAAAAATTGTTATTTATGCAACAGAAGCAAATAATAATCATGGACAATTATTTAATTTAAAAATTTTGTATCGTTCTATATTTAATAATAATGATTTAGCACGTTTAATAAGTGAATTAGAAAGTGAATATCGTCGTGAATTATTAAATAATGATACAGTTATAATACATTTTTTTAAAAAGAATTCATTCGAAAAAGAAAATTTTTTTTGGAGAGAAATTTATTTATATTTAATTGAAAATAAATTAGATTTAATATCATGTGCTTTGGTAAGTTAATAGTTTATAATTGTTTCTTTTTCTTCTATCTTATTTATTATAAATATTATTATTAAGAATGATTCAAAATTAATGGTACAAAATCGTGATTATTCATCATTTGATCAATTATTACATATTGAACAATTAACCCCATTACATCTTTATATATTTCTTCTTGCATGGACACATGTAAGAACAATAAATGATGCAATTGTATTACATGATTCAATTAATTCACTAGGAAATAAAAGTCCTTTATTAATGAAATGTTTACAATTATTTCAATCTCATATTGAATTTATAACATGGTTATATACTGTTCGACGGTAAGTTAAGCATATTTGTTCGTTTTTTTTTTAATATTTATTTTTTAAAATTACTTTCTTGTTGCGTTAGAATTGATCTGTAAGTTTATTTTGCTAGATAGAATTTACTTGATTTAGTCTTTTGTTTTTTTTTGCCGTTTTGAAATTCATTTTTTTTCCTTTATTTAAAGGTATCATGATGGTGTATCACCTTTACCAAATATGTCGGATTTATTAGCATTATTACATACAAATTCGCCATTGTCTTTAATGCATCGATATTTAGATATACAAACTATTGATTCAGCTGAGATTTTAGAAAAACTACAAAAAACATCAGTTGACATTGATGATAATAATGAAAGACCAACGAAAGAAAAACGTAAGTTCTTAATACTTGAGAATGTTTAGATAAAAGATCAGACATGGAACCTATCGAGCTACTGGCTACCGACTGGTCTAAAATCCGTACAGGGATTGGATCGGACGGACCTGTGACTGATACAGGTCCCATATCTGATGATGATATAAATACTTAGCAAATGTATTTCTTGATCTATTGTAGCCTTCTTTTAGGTTTTATAGCTCTCAAAATTCAGAAAATTTGAATTCGCTAGAGAAATTTCTAATGAAAAATAACCTTTCGATGTGGGTCTGACGCGATGTGTCTAATGATTCTTGTGATTTATACTTGAATTCCGAAAATTTTTGGCATGATTAAATGCATTCGATGGGAAGATTATAACGTGAATGCCTGAGACTTCTTACATGTTTTAGCATTGATTTGTTTCACTGAAAATTGAGAAAGAAAGTTTCGTGTTAGAATATTCTTTGCTGATATACTCATGACTGCTATACTTTAGTCAAGCATTTGTGTATTTCATAACATTATTTTTCATATCTGATATTTTCGAGGGCGCCTAAAAAATGTATGAGTATCTCTGACGTTTCTCGTTTGTTTCAAAGTAATTGAAAGTAATACTGTAAATGTATGGTTTCATATGTTTTCTCCAAAGTCCATTAATCAACTATTATTTTAGATTGTAGATAGAATGAGATTTTTGCACCACATCTAAATATTTGAGCTGAAGTTTAGTCAATTCCAATTAATAACTAAACGAATATAGGCGTGAAATGAAAGAAAGCATTTTGAAGTTAATTATCCAAAGTCTGGAGAGTAGCAAAAAAAATTATACGAAACCTGAATAGTGTTGAGGAATTTTCAAGTTTAATTGTCAAATCAGAATATCAAATCCGAATTCGAGTGTTTAGTACATGTCTACTTTGCAGTTATCTTCTTATATAAACTTAATTTTTGACAATCATTCTTAGGTGTACGCTTTACTGATACTCCTACAAATGCAATTGAATTACTTCGTTTACCTCAAACAACAGCTTCAATGATATTTCTTGGTTATCTCTCAATCAATAGTGTTATACAACGTATTTTATCATCTACAGATAATAATACTAATCAAACTGATAATGATTTATTTTCTTCAACACGTACATATTTAATACAAATATTTCCATTACGTTTTCGTCTTGAATTATTAGAAAATATTTTTTCACTTATATTTATTCAACAAAGTGAATTGAAAATTGACGAAACAGTTGAAATAATTGAACAATCAATAAACACAACATCAAATTCAGTATCACCATCAGATAAATTCTTTTCATCAATACAAAGTAATTTAACAAATGATAGTTTTCATACATCAACAAATGCAAGTATTAGAACTCAAGTATCAGTTAGAAGATTTGATAATGATGTAGATGAAAATATTGATGATAATGTATCAATATGTAGTAGTTCAATGAGTTCAGTTGGTGCATCACATCCTCATTCTATACATCGTTCAGGATTATTAATTGATCAACAAGTACTTTATAAATTATTAATATTTCTTCGTGATCAACTAACAGAAGTTCGTACACTTTATCAAAAAATAAAAGATAAAGCAACTGATCGTGATACAGTAGATTTTGAAACATCATTAGATAAATGTTTTCAAGGTTATTCAATTAGTACAAATGAACAATTTACAACTAGAGCAACAAAATTAAATACAACTGTTAGTGAAACATTATGGAGATATCAATTATTAACAGCTAACACAGTCGAATCATCGACACAAGAAAATAAAATCGATGAATTAGATAATGATGATAGTTTAGTTTGTAATCCTACCATAAAAAATTTAATTCTTCCTGTTCGTAAGTTATAATACTATCTTGTTTCACCAGACTAATTTTTTTTTGCTCTCTCTTAAGCCGTTCATCGACATTCTCATCGAAGAAAACGTCGATCATGTCAATCTGAAAGTAGTGCATCCAGGTACAAAGAAAGAAAGAAAACGTTTCTATTTATTAAATCATACATATAATAAATTATCTATTTAGTGCTGCATCATCATCTATAATGAATAATGGTCAAACTAAAATAACATCAACATTAGTATCGCAAATTCTTTCTCCTCGTGATAATTTATTAGCTATTTGTTTAAAAGAAGGCAAAATTACTGAGGCTAATGAAGTTATTCGAGTAAATCTTATTTTGATTACTTTCTTTTCAAGTAAAATTTTCTTTTTTTTTTTGTTTATAGTTATTCAATATGCAAGATCATCCACTTGCTGTTGAAGCAAAATTTAGTAAATTATTTCGTGATACAGTTATTCAATTATCTACATCATATCCATCATCGAGTTCTTCTATTGATAATTCATCATCGAAATCAGCTTTAGCTGGTTTAGCTAATTTAGCAACATCAGCTCTGAGTAGTTCATCATTACAAAATGATATTATTCCATTATTAGAAAATGCACAATCATCAAATGTTTCATCAACATTACCAACATCAAATTATTTTGATCATGAATATTTTGTATCATTAACATTATTTGATTTAGCAATAAATGCACCAACAATGACAATAAGTAAAACATTACTTGATATGGCACAACACCGTTTACCACTTCCACGTCCATTATTTTCATCAAATACATCATCACATAATACAACAAATAATAAAACTTCAACAACAAGAATAAAAACATTAAATGAAATGATTAATAATTATACACATTTAGCTAATTCATCAAATGGTTCATTTGATGATTTATTACTTGATGTTACTATACCATTAGATGGAACAAAAGCAACTAAAACTATACAATATTATAAAAGACTTGATGAACATTGTCGACAATATTATTTGAATGAACAAAATTCTTTATCAATTGAACAACAAGTTAAAATGACTGGAGAATTTTTTGAAAATGATCCACAAGCTAAATTAGATTTAATTGCATATATTAGGTGATTATATAAAAGTGTATTTTGATAATTTAATTTACAGAAAAAATGAAGACAATTTAAAAACTTTTGGCAATTTTGAAAAACTCAGCATATAACATATCGTTCATAGAAATCGCTAAAAGTTAATACAAACAAAATTAATTTTATCTAAAGATAGAACTCGAAGATTGATTGCTTTCATCTGAGAACTTTGAAAATCTGCAGAAATTTCACATCGATTCATTTTCCGAAGCTTAATCATCCTTTTTTGCTAGAGATACTAGTTTTCAACATGCCTGCAGTATAGCAAAATTAAGTTTGAATATAATTGGTTGTAGTTATGTTTTTCTTTTCCAAGTGCGAAATTAGTCGAATTATAAGAGATTTATACTACATATTTAGTAGATATTTACAAAACTTGGAAATTCAAACTGCGAAAACAAAAATCTGTCTTTCTATTCTTCATATCTTAAATACATAACAGCACTATTTTAAAATCATAGATAGAATTAAAACGTCATTCTTTTTAACTACTCTAGAGTTTTTTTCTCAAAAAAACATCAATAACTTAACAGTCTTTCATAATAGATATTCATCCAAAAATTGCTTATTTAAATAGATCATTTATTCATTTAGAAATACCTCCAATCAAACAAAAGTACCTTCTTCTTCAAATATAAATTATTTTTCAATATTTCATATATATTTACAAAATTTTCGTATACTTCTTGAAAAATTTCCATTAGAAGATATATCAACAGATGTTGATTTATTAAAACATTCACCATTATCACTTGTTCATCGTATTGTTGCACGATCCAGTGATATTGATTTATCACAATTACAATTAATGACTTCGAAGTTAAATATTGATATATCACTTGCTGTTACTCTTAATATAATTCGTCCATTATTTGTTGATAAAACAATAACAACATCATCATTATATTCTAATAGACGTTCTACACTATTACAACATCAACCAATAGATATTTTTTCATATTGTTATCAATCTCAAGTACAACAAGTATCACATTCAGTATCAAATGAAAGTACTAAAAAACAGTTACGACAATCAACATTTCTTAAACGTCTTGCCAGCAAATTAGATGATTTTCAAAATGAACCGAGTTCTTTTAATGAACATCCAGAAAAATTTATTAGAACAGTATTAACCAAGTTATTAGATTCAACTAAAAGTAAATGAATAAACGAATGTCTTATATTTTTTTTCAAAGAAAGTTTATTGGATATATTTTAATAAGTACTTCTTCAAGAGTAAAGTGATAAACCTTACTGAATTTTGTTTTTATTTTCTGTTAACAATACGAATAACTAATTCTACTCTTGTCGAATGGAACGTGTAAAAAGAAGAATATTGTTGACTAAACGAATCAAAGTAAAGTAACAGAACATTTCAGATATATAGACAGACAGTCATCAAAATTGAAAAACGTTTTTTAAGTGAGACTCAAATCCCTTTTTCTTTACTAAGATAGGATCAGGACCAAAAAAGGATGGTCTCGTTCATACAAAACAGATAAATTCATTTCAATTCTCACAATGGCTATCCCAGAGTACTATTTTCATGACACGATACACTCTGAACCAAAATTAGTCGTTTTATGGCTTGCTTTGGACTGGAATGTAGCTCGAGTTATTTACATTTCTTTTTTCTCTATTGATTTGCTTTTTCTTAATTTGAATAGAAGTAATTCAAGCATCTGGTTATAATCATATGACAATCGAACACATCGAAAAATTACTTTCATTCGATCATTATACTGATATAATGAATGCTTTACCATTATTAGGATATCTTGATCTTGATCGTTTAATGACAAACGCAGAACGTATTTGTTTCTTTGCAAATTTATATAATTTTCTATTAATTATATCTCATATTGAACTTGTTCGAACAAAATTAACACAACTAACAACAACAAATATATTTCGTAATGAACTTGAACGTCTTTTATTTTTTTTAACAACACGTATTGATATTGGACAACTTAAGCAAATATCATTATATGATATAAGATATTATATATTAAAACAAAATGTTCTTAATGATGGACTTAAATTAAATTTAGATCCAAAAGGACCATTTTACCGATATGCACCAATACTTAATAATAATCAACATATTCGAATAGGTTTAATATTAAATGATTGTATTTATTCATCAGCACCATTCATTATTTTAACGCCAGAATTACTTAATGAACAGTTACAATGTTCTACAAGAGAGTTTATTGATAAATGTGTTTCAATTAAAATTAATGAAACAAACAATTCAATAGAAATTATTTTACCATATGTTCTTCATTCTCTATTTGATCAAGCTACAGATGATGTTGTTAAATTTATTGGAGAATATTCATCTTATAATGACATTCTATCTGCAACGAATGGTAAGATAAAACATATGTACGATTGTGAGGTGCCATAAGATTCGAAATGATTTAATGAATATTTGTGGACTAGTGAGAAAAGTGAACAAAAAGATCCGAAAGATTTTATGAGTGTTTTAATAACCCGTCGGTGGATAGTAAAAAAAAGTCGAATACAGAATATAAACTTGAAACTTTGTCAAGAAATAGACATAATCAAAATTTGAATTTGTTTCGGCAAGTTCACGGAAATTCTCATAGAAATCATTCAAGAACTAGTCAGATTTTTTATGATTAAATGATCGAATATGCTATAAATAATTGATAATGTCTCAATAAAGTATCAACTTCTTCTATAACTGATTTCTATCTCCAAATAAAATATGATCTTACAGTGATAGACAACAACTAAAGTAATTCTGTAAAATTTATTTGTGATCAGCCTACTATCCAGGCAGACAAACTTTTGAGAAAATGTGTTCAAACGCACAAAAAGTGGCCTAAAATCAACAAAAAGTGGACATTTTTAGCTCACACTTGAGGTTCCCGACTATGAGCCAGAAACGTCCATTTTTCGTCCTTTTTGTGCGTTTAAACGCGTTTACACATTTACAGAAACGAGAAAAAGTGGTCGTTTTTTATACTCTAGATGTTCGATTATGATTACAGTCACGTTTCTCGAGCTGGAAAAGCAGGACAACTTTTTTCTTTCTTTTGTATGCGTGTCAACGCGCTTATTGTCTGAAAACGCGTTTAAATGCACAAAAAGGACGAAAAATGAGCGTTTCTGGCTCACAGTCGGGAACCTCAAGTGTGAGCCAAAAACGTCCACTTTTTGCTGATTTGAGGTCAATTTTTGTGCGTTTAAACGCGTTTTCTCAAAAGTTTGTCTGTTTGGGTATTGAAGAATGTTTGAATGTATGAAATACGCCAAAGTTGTTTGAAAGAGTATTTCACCCGAAATTTTTTTTCGAGCTGTAATACAAAATTCAAAAAGTTAACAAGTCTCTTAAGTTCAAACAAGTATGGTCGTTTCCCATCATATACAGAGATATACGTTGTTTTCTTTGACTTGCAAGAAAATTTCTCCATGTGTTAACCTACTTTTCGACCCAGATGATATTCGTTTGATGAGTACTAAGCGACTAATAGAAAAGTCTAGAATGGTGTGGTTTTGGAAGCATTCGTTCTCGAGATATCGAAAACTAAAATGTGTTTTTCAATAACAATCTGTGATCTCCCTCAGGTCACATGTAAAATTGACATTCAAGTGTTGACTTCTAACTTTGCACGAAGAAAATTCTTAATGAGATTAGTTCATTGAGCAAATATTAGCTTTTCTAGCATTCTTTTTATGGAGATGTAAATACATTGCTTTTATACACGAGAGAATTTCGAATATTGAATATTTTTAGATAGGTGATACTAGAAAAGTCATAACTTCCCCGCTGAACTAATCTCATTGTGAAATTTATTCATGCAAAGTTTGAAATCGAAACTCGATATTTCACGTGTAAAAATTCTTTGTTTGAACCTTTCTTTTTCAGAAGATCGCACAATAAAAACTGAAGTAATTCCTTCGCAAAATGATTTTGCTATAAATTTCGATTATCATTTATGTTCATCTCAATCCGAACAACACGGAGGACGTCGTCGTCGTACCAGTTCACTTCCATTATCTACAACAAGTATAACATTATCTTCTTCTTCAATTGATTTCCTTCCTCAAATAACAAATTTACCTAGTCATCTAATTGATTCTCGTACAATATCATTTGTTCAAGAAAAATCTCCTGCCTTAGGACAAATTCTTCAAATATATGTTCAATCAATAGTTCATAATCAACCAATTGAAAGCGATAAAACTCCATTAAAAAATTATTTTACAAGTTTATTATTGTCTCCAACATTAATTGAATCAACATCATCAATTGGTGATGAATGGTTTCGTTCAATTGTATTAAATGATTTAACATATCAATATGATCTTCTTCTTTATTTATCTTCATTATTATGGAATAATTCTAAATATATTGAAATAGTTGAATTATTTGATTCATTATTACCATCATTTATTGTACATTCACCATATTTGCAAATTTTGCGTGATCTTGCTTTATTAACATTAATTAAACAAACATCGGAACCTGATCATGCATATAATTATTTACGCAAAATTCATGATTGCCATTTATTAATACATTCAACATTAACATATTTACCACGTTTTGATGGTCCAACATGTTTAAAATTACTTCAATTATGTTTAACATCATGTAAAAAAACTCATCAAGATTATATACCATGGATTCAAGAACGTTTAAATATAATGTATGTTTATAAAACATTATGTCTTGGTGCATTAGCAGAATTTAATATATGTATGGAAAAAATATCTAAATATGAAAATCAATTAAATATATCAATTGAAGATATGGCTATAAAAAAGACATCATCAAAATGTTTAACATGGCAACATGCACAAGAACATTCACAACGTGATCCATTAGCTGTTGTTAATATGTTTATTTATGAAAAACAATTTGATATGGGACATAAATGGTTAACATTATTAAATAATTATGTGGAAGAAAATATAATTGATCGTGTTAGATTAAAATTAGTTGAAGAACATATACATTGGTTATTAAAAGAAGAGAATATTGGTGATGGTAATAAAATTTTACAAATTATTGATACAATTAAAAATCAAAATGATAAGTGGCATTTATGTACTGAATTAATTGAAGATTTATCGAAAAAACCATTAGTTATATATACAAAATCAATACCTTTTTCCAGATTATTTATTAAGTTTCGTCTTATACAATATATGTTAGGACATTTTGAAGAAAAATCTATATTTTTTCAAGAACAATATGAACGATCAAAATTATGTACTTTAGTTACTGGTTTAGCTTTATTTTTTAATTGTATACCATTAGAACAAACAGATTCATATGTACAACTAGTTGGACAACCATTGCTTATATTTGAACAATTATTAATGAATAGTTCAATTGATATAGCAAAATTAACTATTGAAACATTGAAAGTTTTAATTAAAAAATATTCTTTAGAAAATATTATTAATATTAAACAGATGGATGAACTTATTGAATTTTATACGAAAAAAAGTGTACGATTAAATGTTGTACAACGAAATGAAGACAAAACAAATATTGAGAATAAGTAAATAGAAAAAAAAATGAAGACCTTATTCGAATACTATACAATTTATAAGAGAATATTCTTAGATGTTAGACACTATTTTCAGTCAAATAGACGCTAGTTTAAAAGTTCTTTAAGTCAAAAAAGTTTATGAGCAAAATCATGGATTAGCGACGTGACTTTGCAAAATTAAAAAAAGTGGATCTCAGAATAAGGAACTTTTCTAAAGTTAATTTTTGTATATTACATGTGTGTTAAGCTACTCTAGATACTCCGAAAAACTCAGCGCTAGAGACCTTTGTTCAGAGTTATTACTGAATAACTAACATTGGAAATGATATCGACTTTTACTTCATACTTTAAAGTTCAAAAGAACTCCGAATAGAGACAACATTATTTAAAAACTAAATGTAGATAACTTCTGAGTCTATAAAGTCTCTATTCAAAGTTTTTTTTTCTGAACATGCCTACATTTTTCAAAATGATAGAAAACCAAAAAAATACTCTTATCACTGAATGAGAAGCTCAAAATCTATTTCAAATAATACAAATTATTCTTCAGAATCTCTACATGATGATGAGACAAAAAATTTTGTTTCGAGGTTTGATAAGATCTCTAGAAAATTGGTTTTTAAGAGGTAGGATTTTTTTGGAGTTCGATCTCGCTGAAAACACACCATAGATATGATTCATGTCATAGAATCTATCCTCAAGCTTTCGAATCTTTTTCTCATATGGTCAGAAAGATATTCGGAAATTAGTTTTTAATTAATAGTCAGCTGAACCATTCAACATTTTGGCATAAGTCTATACTAAACGAACTTATTTTGAAAAATAATCTTTATAAGCAATGAAAGTCAAATGAATGGGAGATATGTCCTGTTGTGCCTGAAATAATTCATCTATGTGATACTAGAGTTATAACTACGGTACAAACAGTAGATTTGATTAATATAGCAACAACTATTTCTATATCTTCATCATTATCGAGCTATTTGTTGTTGAATAGTTCTTTGATGAAGAACGAAAATTTAATGTTTTACTCTTTTAACGAATAATAAAACGTTCAAATCAAATTTACTTGGCTTGTACCTAAACATTACTGAATTGTTCATTGTTAGTAAGTCTGATATAGAACATATTTGATTTTTAATATTCGATTGCTAATTAATAAAAGCATAAATCGCATATCTTACAAATCGTTCTAATTCTCTTGTGGATATATCATTAATTATTATACATATTTATATATTAAATAAAAAGATCAAGTCTAAGAATGTGAATAACTTCTGTAATACAATTTACTTTCTCATAGTCATTTTCATGATGTATCCAACAAAATGTTTGAACGAATATTTGCATATGCTTAGTATCTCATAAAGATAATAAGTGGTGTCCAAGACTAACTTTATGTGAGAGATAGACATCAATTGAGAGTATAAAAAACTGACTATTATGATAGACTCAGAATGTACGAATCATAAATATCTAATAATTGTATAAGAAAAATATTTCATAAGTATTAATTTCATATTTAATGAGTGAATTGTCTACTTGTTTGATAAATACGAAATAAGTGATTTTTAGTTGTATTTTACTGAAAACATATTTATAGTATACATTTTCTGACATTTGGTTTAAAGGCATATATTCATAATTAAATATTGATCGGATAACGAAAAAATATCTTTCTTAATACTCTTTAGACCTGCTCTTCCAGTTTCATTTGGTTCGCAAGGCGAAAATCGTCGTTCATCATTGGGTCCATCTTCTAATACAAATCAATCTAAGAATGCTCAAGAAATATCACCATTAGGTCGTCGAAATTATAGTTCTGGTACAAATACTTTATTCAGTAGTATACGTCAACGCATATCAACTAGACCTTCTACAACATCTCAAATGCTAACTGATTCTGATCAAAATTTATCATCATCATCATCACTGAATACTAATAGTCCACCATCAGCCAATTCAATTCCAATTAAATCTTCACAACAAACAACGTCATCAATTTTTGATTATTTATCATCATCATTTTCTACTCGACCAAATATTAATGAGCAACCTCACCAAACAACAAAAACAACTTCATCAACACAACCAACTGAGTTTATTGTTCCTGCAGCTATACCACCAAGACAATTATGGATATCAGATACTGAAGTATCTCTCTGTATGTGTTGTAATGAATCGCAATTTTCAATGTTTAATCGTCGTCATCATTGTCGTCGTTGCGGTCGTGTTATATGCAAAACATGTTCACAACAAATGACAATAATTAAAAGTCGCCTCGAACGTACATGTAAAGATTGTTATCTATATATGCAAAATAATCCAACCCCAACAATAAATACTCGTCCTGAAACAAATACTTCAACAAAAAAAAATGAAAATTTTCGAGCGTAAATTTTGCTTTTATAATTTATTTTCATTTTATTCTTCGTTAGAATTAAGACCTATCTACAATGTTAGAGATTATTTGTCCTTTATGTATGGTGTTATTAATGCGTATAAATAATCCACAGAGAATAATTTAACAGTTAATTAGAAGAAAAGATTATTAAAAGTTTGTATCGAAGACATGCAGTCCACAAAATAGTCAATCTACAAACAAAAGAATAATCTTTTCGAGATTATCAGTCAAAGGAAACGGCAGTAGCTTTAAAAATCATACAATCTCTAGACCTGTTCTTGTTTGTTAATTTAAGCATTGTTTGAGATTTTCTACTTTCTTTGCTATGCATTGATTGATTCGATTTCAAAACAAGAAAGGTGAAAATAGTATGATTTCATATCAATTCATAAAGAGCGAAGCAAGGCTTTCAGAAATAAATAGAGTACGAAGAACATACAGTATTCTCAACAGTACTAACGATAATTTGACACATTTTACTTATGAGTATATCAATCCTTTGTAACCTAATTGCTTTTTATTAAACGAACAAGAGCTTTCGAAGAACTAATGGCTTCTTTTTCTTCGCATTTTTTTGAAAACTACAATCGTGAATGATTAAATGTTGTAAGAGAACAAGAGTTTCAAATTTACTTCTGATTGGATATGAGTTGTAAAAAATTAGTTTTGTTGAATTTAGTATATAGACAAGAACTAATTTGTTTGATTTTTAATAGGCAATTAGTTTGACTTTTTTTGTCATTCTAGCTTTTCAAGGCCAATCAGTACATTTAAAAGACAATCAATAAGTCAAGTTTATTTAAGTAAAACTCGACAATCCGAAACAACATCAAATAATCTCTTATTGGGTACATCACTTGTTAATGAAACTTCAACTGTCGAAGAAGAACAACCTCTTCTAATAAGTTCAAGTTTTTCAACAGTCAGTCCATTAATGAAAACAAATAGATTAAGTCGTCGACTATCAGTTGATTCAAATCAAAAACAAGATAATGATGATATTCCAACATTACCTGTTATTAATGATCAAGTTCATTATCAATTAACTGGAACATCAAATGATGAAATGATACGTAATGAGTTTCATTATGATCAATCACCAAGTATATCATTATGTTTATCATTAATTGAATTACATTCCGATCAATATCAATGTGGTAAATTATTAATAAAATTATGTGAATATTTATCTGAACAACTATCAACAAATCAACGTAATAGCGAAATTGATTATGGTTTAGTATTAAATATAATAAAAAATCTTTTATTTACTGCTAAAATGAAATTGATGACAAGTACTATAAATGATGAACAATTAGGTGAACAACAAAAATTAATAACTTCATGTGATATATATAATAATCTTGTTGATATACTAAATCGTTTAAATATGGCTAATTGTTCATTACCAGTTTTAAATGATCTTTTACAACAAGATACATTAAGAAAAATTCGAAATAAATTATTAGATGATGAAAGATATCAATTAGCAATGGACATTTCAACACGATGTAATTTAGATACGCAAACGATTTGGTTTCAATGGGGAATGGGTAACTATTAAATTTCATATTTAACATAGTCAGTTGTCGATTTGATCAATAGTTCAGTTAGTCTATTGGATAAAAATAAACGACTGGCTCGTTGCTGAATTTAGACAATAGAAAAAATCCATATGACGTGGAGTCCTCTCTGATTAATTGCAAACTAAAGAAACTGTAGATGTTGATTTCCACTGATGCACCTGACTAGATAAAACATAGGCAGATCTAAATTCTTAGAAAAACATCTGGATTTCATGCCCTTAAAAAATCAAAACAAATCACTAAGGACGAGGACAGATAAGATCCTTTTCTGACCAAAAAGATGTTCGTATTGTTTGCATTGGAGACAAGTCAAGGAATATTTAGGACCATATACTGACACTTATTTTTGTGAAATCGCCCGTTCAGGTTTTTCGGACCTAGGATCTTTCACAGTTTCTCTGGAAAACATTTAGTTTTTAACTTCTTCTAAAAATATTTTTATTAGAAGTCTCAAAAATGTTTTGGGAAGGAGTAATCTTTTATTTACCTCGATGTTGCTACTTGCCCAAAAAATTATTATTTTGATATTTGTCTAGTTCAGAAAACGTCAAAAACAAACAAAGATAGTGCATTGAATACAGAACTTTAGCCTGAATCCGAATATGAAATCAGAAAACTTAAATACATATCTAATTTTTTGAAGAATCAGCAAAAACTAATGAAAACCGGGTTTTCGAAGAGAATTCGCCACAGATGACCCAGATAAATAACTCCAGTTGCATCGTCAAACTTTTACAGAATATATACCTTTTCGTTTCCTATTTCATGAAACCAAAAAAAATAATTCAAATAATGTTGTGGAACAGGTGCAAATCTTCAAAATATGGGAGGTTTTTAAGAGGATTTCTGTCAGAATTTCTCGATTTTTGAACTGCGACTAGAGTTTTATGGAGTTTAAATGCCATATTTGGAATCAGCGCAAAAGTCTGAGTCGAATGTCATGTCATTCAAAGATTTTCGTTGATTTTGACTTTTACCTGAAAATTCCAGAAACTTTCCAGTTACAAATAGGACAAAAAACTTAGTGGTTGGGACCAACAGAAATGCACATCGTTTCACTCAGAATTTTGTGTTGATTCTAAATATGACTTTTAAACTTGATAAAACTCTAGTCTCAGTTAAAAAATCGAGAAATACTGCCCGAAATCCTCTTAAAAATCTGTTTCGTGAAGATTTTGACCTGTTCCACGACGTTTTTCGAACTTATTTTTGATCTCACGAAATAAGAAGTGAAAAGGTACATATCTTGTAAAAGTTTGACGATGCGACTGGGTTGCTATGTAGGTCATCTACGGCAAATACTCTTCGAAAACTCGGTTTTCATCAGTTTTTGCAGTCTTCGAGAAATCAGAGAAGTATTTAAGTTCTCTGATTCCATATTCAGATTTGGGATAAAATTCTGTATTCAATGCACTATCTTCGTTTGTTTCTGGCGTTTCCTGAGCTAGACAGCCGTCGAAATAATCTTTTTTTGGATAAGTAGCAACATGGAGGTAAACCGAAGATTACTTCTTCCCAAAAGATTTTTGAGACTTCTAATGAGAATATTCTTAATCAGTGTGACAGATTACCTATAGTCAGATAGATTTCTAAGAAATTAACAAACAAAACTTTTCCAAAGATCCTGTGAGGGATCCAAGTGCGAAAAATCGGAGCGAACGATTTCACGGGAAATATGGGCCTAGGTATGCTTCTGAATATCTCTTGACTTAGCTCCAATGCAAAGGGCACGACAATTTTTTCGGCCAGGAAAGGGTCTTATCTGACCTTCTCCTTTTCTATAGAAGTCGAGCTAATTTCAGGAATGCAAGTATAAGGGAATTACAAACCGAAAACGGATATCTTCTCTATGGATGTTCTTAGGAAATTAGAAACATTTTTGTTACTCTTGCGTGCTTGAAATAATTAAAAAAAATATCTTGAAATTAAAGCTATGCTTATTCTCGAATTCTGATGATCAGTTGGTATTATTATTAACGTAAGCTTCTATCAAACATTCGAACTATGTATTATCGTGTTTATCAAAAATTGATTTTCCTTTGATGTATTATATCTCTAAGAGGTAAAGAATATCTTGCACTAATTATTGAATGAGAAATCGTGAGACATCGAATGGGTATTATGTGTATCATTGTTTTCTGTCCTATTCGAAAAGCGACTCATCAATGCCAATTCAGTTAGTTAACATGGAAGTAACCCACGTTTATTATAGAATTATCTACGTTTTCTTTTTTCTTTAAACATTGTTTCGATTTCTCGAATTTATTTTTGTCTAAAAAACAAAATCATTCCATTGTCGGTTATTTACAAAAATACATCGAAACCCTCGAACTATCATTGCCACATTTTTCTTAACTTTTATTCTAACTGTTTATTTTAAATAGCTTATCTTCACATTGGTCAATACGTTGAAGCCCGTGATAAATTTGAAAAATGTTTACAAAAAAATACTGACGCAGCTGATCTTATATCTAAACAACAACAACGTAGCAGTTTAAGTCAAGAAAAAATTTTAAATGATATTATATCATATCTTGAATCATCACTTCCATTGAAATACTCTATAAAATGTCAATATCTTGCTGCACAACAAATTCGACAAGCGGGACAAACACGTACTAGTTTAAAATATCTTAATAGTCTTTCAACAATGCCACGTTTATCTGATCAACCAAATAAAGGTTATTATTTTTTCTTCTAAATTCTCTAAATTTAATAAAATAACTCTGCTTTTTTAATAGCTATTCACGATGAAATTTTATTTTATTTAACAACTTATAGCGACGATGCACATTTATTAGATTATTATATTCGTCATGAATTTCATACTCAAGCATTTGAATATAAATGTTCATTAACAGTATTTCGTGATCATATATATATGCCATTATTAAAACGTAATCATATAAAACATCTATTTAATTATATATTATCACATAATAATAATAATTCATTTACACATCATTTAAAATTTATTTGTACATATTTAAACGAACAAGAAATGTATCATTCATTACAACAATTACAATTATTTATGAATGATTTCACAAATGCAGCAATTACATCGATTAAATTATTTACTTTAAATCGAACAACATATTTGGATTTATTTGAAAAACGCTTAAATTATTTACGAAACGCTTTAGAATGTTTTCAACAAGGAAAAATTGATACAGAACAAACAATGATGAAAATACAAAGGTATAGATAATTCACTTTTTCGATTAAGAAATCTGTGACCATGAAAGTTATATTTTAAAAAAATGAAGACCAAAATGAAGTTTCTACAGCGTGAAACCGATGTAATATTAGTTTAGTGCTTTTTTTTTGTTCGGTTAAACAGTTGTTATCTATATACTTCATTCAAAATTGATAAAGTTAATACTTCGCATTACTTCAAGAAAAACTAGAGCATGTTCTACTTTTGTACAATGCAATTATCTCGAAGTGTGATGTTTACTTCATTGCTATCGATCATTTCGAATAAAGTGGCTTTCTTATTTGAGTCTACTCGTTAAGAAAGTAGAGTTCCGTGGAACATTCGAGATCAGAACATTTAAAAAAACGGGATGTTGACTCGAAAAAAGTTTGTCCTGCAGGACTTCATAAGAAAGTACTAATAATTGTCAAGAATTAAAAAGCTTCGATGTTCGACTTCTCTATCTTTCGTTCAGATTTAATAAAAAACAATTCACTCATTGAAATGAAATAAAATGTATGAAACGTTACTGTTTATATTTCTGACCATAGTTTTGAAAATTATATAAAAATGAATTAGACAATTTGATTGTGTTTCCGAAAGAAACATAATTGTGAACAAATGTCGAACTGGAACTACTTCTGTGGATAAAAACCAAAAAAATTTTCATGCAGCATATCTTTTGCTTGTATTTATTCGTGACAACAAACTGCAGTATTTCAAATGACTAAGCTTCAGTTAATCTTAGACAGTTCAGTTGTTTTTTTCTTGTTGTATCGACGATGGGCTCTGATAATTTTTCTTCTAATTGTTACTGAAAATAACTTCTACCAAACAACTATTGATATTCTTTAATGACTCAATGGGTCCCATTTTATGAGACAATGTTTGACTTTAGTCTAGCCTTTTTACTTTTGTTTATATGAACATTGATAACATCTTTATTAAATTAGAATGCCATTAGATCTTAAAACACAACTATTTAGTGAATGACACTGTAAACAATATAAAAAAAGCTCTCAGTTATACAACATTCTTAGTCTCAAATTTTCATGTTTTTATTAATTTGAAGAATAATATCTCACCCGTTAACTTTAGTACTACAAATAAAATCGACCTTCAATTGGAAATAACTCGTTACATTTATACACAATTAAAACGACTTAACACAAATGGCTCAAATATATTAATTAATTGTCCAACAGTATTTGATGGAAAAGACTCTATATTTAAACTTATCTTAGGCTTAATAGCAATATCTGATACAATGACAAATGCATTTATTTTAATTAATAAAATAACCAAGGTAAAATTGATTTTTTTTGTGTTATATTAAAATTGATTTTTTTTAGGAAATGAATTTTTCACCGACGGAAGTATTTGTTCCATGTGCTGAACAGGTTGGTAAACGTCGTGATTATCGTTCTCTTCAACAATTGCTTCAATTAATACGTGAAAATGGCTATACTGATAGTAAATTACATGATGATATTATTGAAAGTTGTGTACGACAATCTGGTTCTGATGTTGAACAAGTAACCTCAATGAATTAAATTATTCCGACTTTAATATTTTATGTTCTTTTTTTTTCTAGAGTCGAGAACAAGATACATTAATTCAAATGATTAAGAATGATGATACTCGTATCAATGTTTATATTGCTGTTGGCAAATTACGTGCTGCTTATTTAATAGCTATTCGTCTAGGAAAAGAAGATAAAGTTCGTTTAATTCGTGATGATGCACAAAAAAGTGGTCAAACAGCTGTCTATGATATATGTAAAAAATGGTTAGAAAATCGAGCAAGTGAACAGTGAAATTAATCTAGTCTTTCACATCATAAACTGCACCAATATTTATTTTATTTTCTCTTGTGATTATAATATTTCTTTAGGTGATTTTTTTCTTTATAGTAATAACAGCTTTCTTTTTTAAAGAAATAAAAAAAAACAATATGATTTTCTTAAATTATTGTAATTCAGTTAGATTTTGGTTCTTTTGTTTTTCAGATGTTGGCAGATTTTTTAGAAAAAAATGATATTAAAGCATTCAATCGTAAGTTTTACTTAATCGATCAAGTGTAGTTGGAATGTTCTCAACAACTTACATATTCGAAAAATTTAGGATCGCTAGAAAAGAAAATCATTTTCCTCATTTTTGAAATCTTGCGATATGGGCAGTGGTTGCCTAAAGCTTTTCGAAATTTCAACGATATCGTCTATTTATATAGGAAATCGATGTGTAGAGCTATAGCCCTATTCGATTGAATAAATATTTCATAGAATGAATTGAATTTCTATCAATTATTTAATAATAATTGAAAATTTTGTATTTTGTTGAGTCACTTGGCAAGTACTTAAAGCCTTTTGTGTCTTGCTGACAAGGTCATTCGCATTTATTCATTCTCAACTGACTACATGAATTTGAATGATTGCGATACTGATACGTAGTCTTATGAAGAAAATTTCGAAGTTGATAGAAACTACATAAATAGATATTGAACTTTGCTATTTTCCACAGTGAAAATAAGAAGTCGATGCTTCGGAAAGTACTTTTTGCCGTGTGTTACTGATCATGCTTGTCGTAATTCTATTGAAGTTGAATCGATCCTTTTGTGAATATTCTCGAATAAAAGCCTAACATAATATGTGCATATTTAAGCATCTTAACTCTGTTAAGTTGTTTAATTTAAGTATTTATAAATTGAGGTTTTTAAGTATAGGTTTATCAAAAAAAAAAGAACTTTCCATTGCATTGAGATAATTTTGAGTTTGAAGCACAATTTAGACATCCTTTCATCTAAGACTACTTCCTTCTCATTACAATCGACTTGTACTTATTAATTAAATCTACACAAATATTTAGAATCCATAAATTCTGATCAAATTGATTTGCTAAAAGACAATCTACAACAAGAAATTGATGATAATAAAAATCAAATTCATCAATTATATATATCTAAAACTCAAGATATAAATAAAATTAATTCTCAAACTTCAAAACTTATTGAACAATGTGAACAATTAGAAGTCAAACGAAAAGAACTAATTATACAAATTGAAGATTATTCGAAATTAGAAAGTCATGCACGTCATGTTAATTCTAATTATCATCAAGTTCATCGTTTAAATCGATTTATCAATGGTATTAAACAATTAATTCAATTACATGATCATATTCACGGTAAATAAGAAGAGAAAACGTTTCAAACAAAATGTTCTTTTTCACTTGTTATTCGTTTTCAGAATGTCGACAATTATGTAAAAAAGGTTCTTTAAATGAAGCAAAAAATTTATATCAGACTGTAGAAAATCTAATTAATAATGAATATTTATTTCCACATACTAAGGATAAATTTTATCAACAACATTATCCATTATATGAAACATTTCAAAAATATGTTAGACAATTACGTACAGATATTTGTCAAACACATCATATTCTATGGAATGATGGTGTTGATCGAACCACTAAAAATCAATTGAAATTAAATTTAAACCATCTTGATCAACTTTTTAAATGTATATTTTATGAAGAAAAAGGAGAAAAATTATTAATGGAAAAAAATATTCAAACATTTGCATCATTTTGCTTCCAAGGATTTATTCATATGCTAATTGAGAAAAAAATGAGATTAATTAGCGATGTAGACACAACAACGGTTTTAATACGGATAGAAAACAGTGAAGAAATAGAAAGAAATGATATCGAACAATTCAATGAAACATTAAATTATATAAAGAAATTTTTTGACATATTGAATATACATTTGCTATCAAGAGTGATGAAAATTCAACCATTGAAAGACAAGTAATGAATATTGAAGATTTTCTTTTTGTTTAGATAATTTTAGTTTTTAAGTTTAATACAGTTAAAAGGAAGATATTCATACCGCATGTGATCAACATTTTAATCATACATTCGGAAATGAGTGCTGAAGTTAGGGATCTCAAAAAAAATTGTGCAAAACCATGGAATCCAGCATTATCCTGGTTTCGCTTGTCAAAGATAACAATAGTTATCTTGATAATTATTTGTAAAACATCTTGTATAATTAAAACTTACAGTACTTATACATGTCTGTGGGTTTTCGTAGTTTTTATAGGTATTCAGAAGTTTGAATATTCAATTGTTTTGCTTTTCTATACAAAACACGTTCTTTTCATGATTAAAGTCAATTCTCATCGTAATTCTTGAGAGATGTAGAGTGTTGCTCACAAGTAATAGAATTTCAAAACATGACAAGAAATTTATCATTTACGATTACTTTTTTTAAAAACTCTATTTCCATGAAGTATTTAATGTTCGTATTTTTTAATTGTTCTTTAAGAAAAGAATTTTGAAATATTTCGGCCATAATTTAATCATAATACAATTGTATGCTGAATAGGCGCCTGTAAATTAGAGGACTTAGTCTTTATAAGTTTTGATAGAAACAAGAAATAAGCATACACCCTTCACAATTGGAAGAGTGCAGCAGGTGACAGTGATCTGAGTAAACAGTAACGAATGAATAGGCATCCAGAGATTTCCCAAATCTTATCTTTTCAAAAGGTGTAACTTCTTGATTGTGTACTCTTTGATTTAAGCAGTGATAAAACACTGTCGAACTGTATATCCAATGCATAATATAGTTCTACTAAATGAATGACAACTTATTGAAATCGATTGATATTATGAGCATAGCATTAATTTCTATTCGAAAAAATCCTAGATGATCGAGCAATGCCTAACGAATAATCGACAATACAAATTTTTCATGAAAATGATCATAATCTTATTGAAAAATCCTAAATTTTTATTTCAGGAAACAGAAAAAAATAGAACAATATTGAACTTCTTATTTCTCAAAATACATATGTTCAATAGTTTAGAATATTCTTTTTTTATTCTAATAGATCCATTGAATCAATTCCACTAATGACCATCATCTCTTCAACTATTGCGAATGATTTTATTGAATGTATTCGTGAACGTTTATTAAATATCATTCCAAATGATTTCCAATACGTCGAAATATTTCGTTCATTATTACAAACCGTCATGGATTTTGAAAAATATTTAACCGAGATAAATTTTTTTTCTGATAATCAAATCTCTAATATTATTTCTTCTGTTGTTGGAAATATCGATGAATCAATAATAAAAAGTCGTTGTCGTACATATTTATTTCGAAGTCGACAGTTACTTCAATCAAATGCAATAATTACAACATCATTAAAAACAATTGAAATTGGTGATGACGAACAATTATTTAAACAAAATGAACAAGATAAAGAAAAATACAAAAATGAAACTTTAACAAATATTTTATCATCAACTATTAGTTTAGATGAATTAGATGCAAATATGTTTCGATTTCCACGTACAATGATTGTGTAAAAACAGAATCTTTCATTTCTTGTTTGAAAGATAAAATTTTTTCGTTTTTTTTTTTCAAGGGAACATGTTTATGAATATATGGAATTTATTCGAACTGTTTTAAAAGAAGCTGATCAATTGGAAAATTATGGTGCACATCTTTGTGCAACTGTAAGAAATATGATGGAATTATTTCATGTAATATATGCGAACTTACATGAAAAAAAAGCACAAGAATTTCCTTATTTAACTGGTAAAGATTTATCAAAATGAATTTGATTTTTTATTTATAATAATGAATGAAATGATCACTTTTAAGACATTTAATATTGATTCAATTCAGAATTTTTTTTGGAAAATATAATGAAATAATTGTCTTTTCTTTAGAGTTCTGCAGAACAGTTTTGCAAAAATTTTCAAGACGGAGCAAACGGGATTCTGGACAACATAAAAAAAAAGTCTTCGGAGTTTGTTTGATCCTCATATAAAAACGTGTCGTACAAATTAGTTTTCTTTTTTTTGACAAATATCTTAATATTCAAATAAATAACAGAAAAAAGAACAGATCAATAATTGGTCTGACGCTCTTGCAAAGCTAAAGCAGAAAAGGTGGCTGACTGCAAGAGCGCAAAAAATGTTAGAATGCGATTCTATACGATGTCTGCTATTTCTAAATCTTAGACTTTCTTCGAGGAAATCATAGTGAATTTCAGTCGCATTCAGCTGTTTTAGGTCAGCTGACAAGTTAAAAAATAATGAATCTGAACCAGCTATTACCGTATTAAGAAACTATTGCATATCACATCTGAAATATTAATGGTAGTTTTCAGATTGAGTTATGTATGACCACATAAAGAAATTCTCACGTGTTAGCTATCGTTGTCGGCATCTTTATAGTCCTTGAACAGAATCAAGTTTTTGAAAAACAGATTTCAGATGTACATTCATCACATTCTCACGATCACGGCATTTTTCCTCATGTTGAAATGGTGGTTAGGTATGAAGAACAAATGACTGACTTAACTCGTGACTAATGCGTTAACTAGAAGAAAAAAATTATCATTACAACTAAGCTAGTGCAAACCTATAAATCGACTACTATACATGGTACAATCAGCTGCCTTTCATTCAATGGGACAAACGGGATTCAGGACATAAAAAAGGTTATCCTGCATAATTCTACTTTTGTCATCTTTTCATTCATTATTGTTAATGATTTAAAGTTTGTCTGAACAAGAAATTCTGTATCAAATCAGCTTTTCAAAATTCTTTTCTAATCAAACAACAGATTTAATCTGTTTCATCTTGAATGACAATAAAATCTAGTTATCTTGTATCAAAAATTGAAATGAAAATAGTATTTTTTTTTCTATAAATCTAAATATTGATTTCAAAGTGTACGAACATTTGCTTATATTTCTTTTTGTAGCTTTACATTTTAATACATATATGTATGTTGCACATGTATGTCTTATTCTTGGTGAAGAATATTATCATTTAAAAACTAAAACAGGTGATGGTCAACCAATAACATTTGTTGATTACGTTCCTATATTTCGTAATCAAGCAGCAAATTTACTTAAATCTCAGTTAGATATTCAAAGAGATACATTAACATCGTTTATTAAAGAAATTGGAGGTTTAAAATATTCATTCGTGTTCTTCTTATTTTTGTTCTAACTATTTCTTTATTAAATAGCATTTCATAATATTGTTGATGAAGATGAAAATCAAGATATACTAAAACGAGCTATCAATCAATGCATAATGCACATGGAAAATCTTTCACATAATTGGCGAAATGTATTTTCACCTCAAGTTTATTTTAAAGTTATTGGTAAGAATAACCAAAAGAAAAACAAGTAAAATTTTTATTTCATTTCTTTTGAAATATATTAGGATATTTATGTGATCATGTTAGTCATCTTCTTATCAAAGAAACTTTATCACTCGAAGATATTCCAGAAAAAGAATGTCAAATAATGGTAAATGTTTTTACACAATGGTCAACATTTTTACAGAATATACTTGTTAAAGATGAACTTAGCCCTGGTTTAAATATTCTTGCTCGTTTAGCACCAAATTTAACAAGATTTAATGAACTATGTCTTGTTCTAAACAGTTCTTTACAAAATATTGTTGATCGATGGTTTAATGGACAAGGACCACTTGCTAGTCAATTTACAGCTTTAGAAATTAAACAACTTATTCGAGCTCTTTTTCAAACATCTGAAAGACGAACAGCAGCTCTTGCAAAAATTCAATAAAAAGTTTTCTTTTTTGTGCGTTTTTGTTTGTCTTGGGGAAGAATGATCTTATTTCTTGTATTTTCATAGATTTTCTCTTTTTAAGATAATATATGGGTGCTGAACAGACTAAAACTCGAAGTAAAAAAGGCGTTATCTATTCAAAAGAAAATAATGAAATGGTTGATTGTTTATTTTGTCGTATTGTAAGAGGTGAATCGCCATCAAATCCATTATGGTATCTCGATGATCAATGTGCAGTTTTTATACCTAGAGGACCAGCTGCACGATTACATTTGTTAATAGTACCATTAAAACATATTCAAACTGTTGATGCACTTACAGAAGAGCATAGATCATTACTTGAACATATGAAAAAAGTAAATATGATAATATTTCCTTTTCTAAAATTTATTTAATGAAGTATTTTAATTTAGGTAGCAAAGGAACAACTTTATGTGCATTGCCAACATATTGGATCTGCTGAATCTCCACTATTACCTCTCGCACCGCCACCATCCCATTATGCATTTAATCGAGGGCATTTACCAATATTGTTGCCATCATCTGAGATTGTCAAAGATGAGAAAACACAGATGGATGCTTCGTTTATCTTTTGTTTTCATCGTCCACCTTATAATTCAATAGATCATCTTCATTTACATGCAATTCAAAAACCTTATCGAACTTGGTGGAATCGATTTATGTTTGCAGAAAAGTCGCCTTGGCATGGATCGTTGGACTATGTTCTTTGTAATTTATCTTCGCCCAATGCTAAGTTGTGACTTTAATGTGTATTAGTTTTCCATGTTTTGTTTTTCAAATAAATACAATCATATTTATATTATATATTAAGAAGTTTGTTTATGCACTTAAATAATCTGCAAATATTTCAAATTTCGACAATGATATTTCGAGCATGTATACAAAATTGACTCAGAATTATTGGAACTATTGATGATTATAATCATAGTTTAATGAATCAAAATTAAAGTTTTGGACTTATTGTTTATTTTAAATTATGGCTTTTTTGTGATATGTCTCAAACTGATCTGAGAATAAAGATGAGATATCAATTTAAACAATCATCTTTTATTTTCCGGGATACAACAAATTCATATGGCAGTATTTAGTAATCGATCTCTAATTTTCACAAACATGCTAGTTCATTTGTTCAGAAGTATTATGAAGAAATCTTCTAATATTTGATTGATTGTTGTTTGAGGTGTAACAACACTTCCAAATACTTATAGCAGAAATATACTTAATCAAAGGTCAGTTCAAGAATACATATAAAGATAGTTTTTCAAAATGTATCCAGTAGTTGACACAGCTTTAGTGAGTTCACTTTGATCACATTGTATCAATAAAATGATGTTAGTTTTCTTACTGTGATGAGTGACACGAATTGGAATTTGCCAAAAAAAACATTTATAGACCTTTGATAGATAAATAACAACGTTCACATCTCTATTTTGATCTATTTTTTTATTCATTTGAAACTCTCACTAAGAATTAAAAACGTGTCGTTTTTGCATTTTACTGATTCTTTATTACTCGTGCATTTTATTGTGTCAATTTATCTTTTTATGAGTCTTCAGAGAAAACTGAAAGGTACCTATGAAAGTGAAAATTTGATGCTTTCTAGAAAATAAATTGGTAACCAATTATCTAGTTGCTGCAAGAAATTTCATGATAAAGTCTTCAGCGTGTCATGCGAAAGTTTTCATTATCAAAAGCCACATTTGAAATCCCGATGCCGTTGTTTTTATCCAAAGTGTTTGATACAGCTTTGACAACGAAGGCATTGGTATCCTTTGAATGGATTCAGTCTTCGCCTTAATCGAGAGACATTTTTTAGGTATAGTTATTCTATGCCTTTCTTCATTTTATTTCGTCACTTTCACTTTCTAAATCACTACGTTCTTCTCTTCACATCAGACGGCATGAAAGACTTGTGCGAATGCAGTGGAAGAATTCTTTCTTGATCGCTGGCTGGTATATTTAGAGTATGATATTGTAACTCGAGCATTTGAACTTATTTTCCATGCATTACTTTTCTCCCAACAAACAGATGCATTGGCATGATAGGAACCTTTAATAGACTTGAGTTCCCTATATCATTGTCGGCAAACAGATGACAAATTCATCTACCATTCAGCAAATATTGTGGAAGAAAAATCTCCAGATAATGATGCTAATTTTTCTGATCGCTAGTTCGATGAAAAGAAAAAGTGTTGAGATACATGCTCAGTTCGTTTTCTTGTGTTGCAGGTAGCTAAGAAAATAAGCAAAAAGAAAAAGTGGTGTTAGAATTAGGAACAAACATGCTCGGTTTTTTGATCACGTCCACTTATAAGGCAACGAACTAAGCTATAATCACAGTCATATTTTTAAAAGATGTACTGGCCTTAATTACATAAGTATGCAATGCCGATCTATGCTGGTTTTTATTCACATTGGTTTCTCGAATTTGTATTAAGATCATCAATAGAATAAAACAAAGATGAAACTGATCTGAAGTATTGACGAGGGATATCGATCAAAATCGGTCAGATCGAATCGTACCGGTCAATGTGTCAGTTTCATCTCTACGATAGTCAAAGCGTATTTCTATACTTCTATGTATTTCTTCGTAATTCTATACCTCTGAGACACAGAAGTACGCCATTCTTCCATTGCGTCACACGTCTTGAGAACAGAAAATGAGTAAGAAGTAGCACACTTAACAGAGGAAGTTGCTTCTGTTAAATCAAAGAAGAATATCATGCTGTTTAGCAATGATAATAATTCCTCTGATCCATTATTTTTTACGCGGGTGAGCATTTGAGTAGGAGTACATGCATGATGATCAACATTTCTGATCTCAAACATTGACAGAAGTGATCAAATTCCTACATTTAGTCTTCTCACAATAATTCTATTCTTCTATGAGTCTCTTGGAAAAATCAACATTAAATGGTGGTTAAGAACAGCAAAGTCGTATTGAGAAGCTTTGCTTCAGTAGCGAGTGTGTCATTCATGATTAATGTTTTCTATTCTTCAATCTCAAAAATAAGTAAAAGAACAACAACTTCCAGTGTCGAAGAATACTAGGAAGTAAAATAATGAAAAAGTGCATACAATTTAGATTTGGTGACCCGACAGTAGAGCCTCGACAAATGAGCCCCTGACAGTTGAGCTCCCCGACAGTTGAGCCTCCTGACGCTTGAGCCTTTATTGATTAATTACGAAAGAAATTAAATCACTATTCAATAACTTTGTTCAATACAAGTTTAGCAGACAGAAGCATGCAATATTTTCCTATGAGATCGATGAGTACTTATTATACTCCTTCATAGCCAAATCAGTCATTTGTACGAAAACGAGTAAGGTTTTCAAATTATTTTTATTTTTGTTATTCAGTTTCCATTACTGTTCTATCTCTGCAATTATTTAAAACTGTGTCAATTGTGATATTCGTAAAAACCAAGTACCAGCCCCTACTTGATGGCTTTGCTCATCTATAGAGAGTGTGATTATGATTGCAATGGGATGTGGATGTTCTGTTCACATACAGCAACGCATAAACCCTGATACCCTATCCTACCGCTCACCAGGGCAGGGTCAGATAGCAAGTGGGAAAGAAAATTTTTGTACTGTCTTCATCTCTACTGTGCACTACTTCTGAGCTCAACAAAGTTATTGAATATTGATTTAATTCTTTTCGTAATTAATCAATAAAGGTTCAAGTGTCGGTGTACCTTTAGATTTGCCCATCAGAACAATATTTCTTCGATCATACTCATTATTTGACTAAACTTCAACATACGTCAGTATCCAACAAAGACAACAGCAACTGTCATCAATTATTAAACTATTATACTGGTAGTAGTATTTCGGAGTTACGATAATAAGTCGACACATTTCTATCAAAAAAAGAAATTACTATCAAATACCCAAACAGTCAGAAAAGTTAAATTGACGCGTTATAACACCCGTTTTGCGTTGTATCTTGTAACGCATTTTACACAGTCAAAAATGCCCGAATTTTGTCGTTTTAACAATGGCATTTTTTTCAGCTTTCACATCGTTAAAATGGCAGAAGAAACAAATGATTAAAATGTATTTTCGAGATCAACGGTTTAAAACGCGTAAAATCGGACATTTTTGACTGTGTACAACGCATTTAAACTAGGAAAGAATACATATAACTCACATACCTTAATATTACAAACAACATTAAAATACAGTATTTACTGATAAATAAGAGATACCAGGTAACATCGGTTCAAAGAAAGTCGAAAGTTAAAGAGCATATATCAGTAGTGTAGTTTCATTTCTTTTCAGAGAATAGGTTCATGGTCATGTAAATATCGAGTGATAGCTGTCTAGCAATTTTTTTTTGTTTTATTTTATCTTCTACATAATAAAAGAAAATTTACAAGAAAAGATAACTCAAGTGTTAAGGATCTCATGCATTCTAAATTTAAATTGTCGAATCTTGCTTATTCACTAGAAGATTTTTTCACTATTTGGAAGATAAAGTAAAATGTTAAATTTCGCTAGAAGACTATTGCTCAATTATTTACAATTACATGGCCATGAATCTAATCTCTGAAAAGAAATGAAACTACACTACTGTTGTATGCTCTTTAACTCCTGACTTTCTTCGAATCGATGTTACTTGGTATGTCTTATTTACTAGTAGACATTGAACTTTCATATTGTCTGTAATATGAAGGTATGTGAGTTATATCTATTCTTCCCTAGTCTTAGCTACAGTGCTTACTTATTGGATCTATTTAAAAAGTTTTTCGAAACTAAATAATGAAGTAGAAAAAATCAAGCGCACGTCACACTATTTTTCTCTTTAAGCACTATTCACCTAAATATATAGCACAATGAATCAAGTACCTAATATAGAAGTTTCCTTTTTGTTACTCTAAATATATTTGGAAATGCCTTTTTATATTTAGAAAGTATATGTTGTGGTCAAAATTAAAATTTTAATTTTGACCACAACATATATATATATCATTTCGATGGCAAAACTCACTAACAGATCAAAATATTTCTATCAAAGGGGAAGTTAATAAAGAAACGACTGAACAATTTTTTAATATGTTTATCCATATCCTGAATTATTCTTATGTTTACTATTTTTGTAGTAGCGAGCTTTTTGATGTAGATTTGACAGGCTCATATTAAAATTTGTTATGAATATTATTTTTTTTCCTCGAATAATTTGAATTAAATTTTAGTCGGTGGATACTTCTATTTCTGAAATGATATATATATTATTTCGACCAGAATAGGGATCTAACTGAGAAAGAGGGAAAGAAAATATGTGAACCTTCAGTGACTTTTGTGATCAAAATAATATTTTTGATTTTGAAAAAGAGATTTTTGGACTTACCTGACTGAATTATTCTTGAGAAAATTAGCATACGAAAAATAAATTTAATCAGAGAATCGAGGAAATAAAAAAAACGGATCCTACATGTATTATAGAATATTTAATTAAGACTCTTTTTTATAAACTTATATGCTTGGGAATAAATAGAATGATATGTATCGATTGAATAAGGAACAATAGGAATTACTGAATAATTATGAGTGTTCCTCTTTGTCTTGTACTAACTACGAAACAAAGAAACAAAGAAGTTCGATGCTACTGGTTAGCGCTATCACCAACAGGACAGGAGAAATAGATAACTTCGTGAAAAGTTTTCGTTTTATTCAAGTTAAAACGCATTACTTGCCCTCCCATGATCCTTCAACCCGTTAAGACGCGTTACTTGCTCCAACATGGTCTTTCAACCCGTTAAAATCCGTCAAACAAAAGACAAACGCGTTGAAACGCGGCTATTTCTTTCATGTGTTCAGTCAACGCGTTATAAAGCGTTGTTCTCTTCTATTCTACCGTTCAACGCGTCAAAACGGCGTTTTGGCGTTTATCTGTCTGCATGGGTTATATGTGTGTTTTACGTGTCTTTGTGTTGCAATAAACGATGAGCATTCATTGGAAAACCAAGATCTAATACAGCGAATGTTTCTACGACAAACATTAATTTAAATTTTTGGAAAGTCAATGAGCTAAGAGTTCATTAATTTGAACAACCTTTTTCATCCTATACATATTCATTAATGTAGAGCAGCGGTGGAGAAAAAAATAGTTAAATCAAGTAGATAATAAAGTTACAAAGTGCTTGATCAAAACAGCCTCCAATACGAACCAGACTCCAGTTCCAGATGACTTTATGTAAGTTTCTCTCTAACGACTGACAAGAGGAAAAAAACTCAAAGAACCTATTATAGGTTGTCAAATTAACTCAGAATTGCAAGCAGAATATGAACTGAAGAAAATTCTCATTCCTTGAACGTTGACTTGTTCAATGAATACAGCTCTATGAATTAACACGAAGTAAAGTCCACACATAGAATATTCAGAATGTAGAAATAATTTAAAAGCACAGATGGATCATATAGCCTAAAAGGGACAAAAACAATATATTAAACTTTATACCTTGAGCTATGATCGAGACTTGTATTGGTTAATGTTACGCGCTTCACCCTCACACTGTGTTTTCTGTTTTCTGTTGTTTATTCTTATGTTCCTGATTTCATGTAGATTGAAATTATTCATTTCCTTTGACTTTTTCCTCGACAGGATGTGTTTTTTTAAACTTCATTTCCTTCTTCGATTCAATACTTTTCGATCACATCATCTGCTCTTTGTTGCATTTTTCTTCTCTCTTGCTGACCTCTGAATGTACAGGATTGTATATATACGGATGTTTCTCATTATTCTAGTTGGTCTAACGCCCACATGGCTGAATGCTGAGATGTGGTTTGTCAGTATCTACGGCAAGCTTACGTGATTAAGCGGGAGAACTCTGAGTCAGGCCGATCTTCTGTCGAGAGCTACAGTTAGTGACTGATCTAGTTAGAAAAAATATCGAACTTTCGACACTATTCTCTGACATGACCCTATACCGCAAGGTAGCCGAAAGGTGGGGTATTCTTCTTTTTCTTTTTCTTCTTCTTCTAGTTGCTTTGGTGTAGGATAATCATTTTGTGCATGTATGTATGTCTGCACATTTTCAGTTAGATTGAAAATTAAAAAAAAGAAGGATAAAACACCAAGACTATAATAGTTAGCTATGGCGCAAAATATGAAACCAATCAATTATCGATTTTCAAATACATAAAGTTGCAACATATTCGATGCATAAAATGTTATTCGTTTTGCTTTTTAGGAAAGCATTTAAAGTTAAATCGTTCTGGCATAAAGTTACATATATTCTGTTCGATTTTCGTGGCCGCTTGCATCTATGCTTATATTTTAATGTACCACCATTGCTGATACTCCGTAGCTGTTCTTCGTACTGCTTGTATTCAATAACTCGAGAACATATGTTTCGCTAGATGATTGCTCTTTATTCAACTGTTTGCGCATTTTTTCTCTATATTTGGAATCTTTTTGTTCCATTTCTCGTCTACAGCCAAGTGGCACCCGATAAAGCCAAATGAGCATGATAACATGCATCAGAACATAGAGACCAAAAGTGGAGAAGAACACATAGCGATCTATCCAAGAATATTGATCATTGGATATTGTTTTTGAAGTGCGGTCTTGAATGAAAATAATGGCGCCGATAATTGCATGCCATACGCATAGGAGAATAAGAATAAAAATTGAAATGATGGAATACTTATCCAGCGATGTCAAATAGGATATTGTCGGCTAGAATATGAAAGTTTAAAGTCGAAAATATTTCGAAAGATAAAAGTCTGACATTTTATCTATTGCAAATTTTTCAATGCAGAAAAAGCATAACATTTTTGTTTACAAGTCACTTTACAACTTTAGTATGATATACAATTAGTAGTTTTTTCACTATCTAATGTCTACTCACCAGAGATCGATTTACAGTCCAACGAAAAGTGATGGAAGTTAGAAGTAGAGTAGCACTAGTTTGAAGACGATTTTGAGGAAGACTAAACGAAAAGAAAAATGAACATAATGCAAGTAGAAACAAATAGAATCGTGTCATTATGCATTCATACTTGGGAGGCATTGCAAAGATGCAAAAACCACAAATAGTAATAAGAAAAACCAGACAGAAGCCATTCCAAAAGAAATAATCGGACCTACGTGCTAGAAAAGACATCAATTCAAAGACACTGGCTAATTAAGCATAATAGAAAGCAAACCTGCATGACATGATACAGACACCAATGAACGTATTCGCCCCTCGTTCGAGTCCATGTCGATATGTTCATCGCCACTATTATTATGAAAAAACTCTTTAACAAAGCGTTGCTTTGCATTGACACGTTCATACAATAACCATTCTTGTTGATCGATGAATGCTTCACGATTTACTCCACTGTCATAATATGGATCTGGAATCAGTATTACTTGGTCATCATATAGCATTGAACCAATAGAAATCGTTAGTTCTTGAATATCACATGGGAAATGACTCAATTCAAGTTTTTCCCAAAAAAATCCTTTGATTTCACGATGTTCACATATGCAAGCTTGATCGTTCGATATTTTCTTTGCACTATATCTTATTTGCTCTTTCATATCTCCAAGTGCATTTTCTATAAACAACTGAGGGTGCCAATGTGAACTGGTATAATCGACAAGAGATATAATTTTTCCATCATTCAAATTGCATTGATCGGGATGTGGAAGAATTGAGAATAAATCGGCTAATTCAACTAGCCAACGAGCTTCAATTGATGCTTGTGCTTGATATTTTTCATTTAATGTATCAATTTCACCTTAAGAGAGAAAGGTTAAACAATTGAAAAACTAATTTTTGTGCATTCGACTTCAACCCAGTTGGTGAAACTGAGCAAAACAACAATAGTTTTTCTAGAAGTAGCAGAATTGCGAACTATAATCCAAGCCTTCCGTCGCACTCAACATTTTTGACACTCTAGCTAGCCACAAACATTTTGGCCTTCGATAGTTACGTCAAAGATCTTCGTATAGCATTAACACATCTATCTGTTAACATAAGAGCGATCGTGTCGATTTATGCTTGTCGCGAGATTCTTATTGTTTGTTGCGAATTCTTTTATTGTGACAAAGTTACTGAATGGAAACAATTTTTAGTCGTCTTTCAAAACGGCTACGCTAGCTTACAGTTCGAGTAAAAATAGTGCTTTCTAGTTGACACCCTCCATTACATGCAATATAAGAATTAACTACTGAGTGGATCAAAAGTCACTTTAACACAGAAACAAATTTGCTTCGTTGCATCATATTTTGGTCACATGAACTGATGTTTGTACTATTGATAAATGAGTGTTGATTGCATATGTTCATATAGAGATAGGTTGATGAAAACTTAATCAGAAAGTATAACAGCTCACGATGAATAAAAAAGCACGAAATACATTTCTCTAATTAAAAACGGATACTCATATTTTTTATTCGTTTTTGGTATTATTGCTGTTTCATGCCAAGTTCATGGCACGAAAATATTTCTTGCGACTGAGCGTATCCTGAGAATATGGATTATAGACAACGATATATTATTAAGAAAGCAACAAATGTATCTTACATGTTTTTCTGTGACTGAAATTCTAATATATATATGGTGGTACCTATTCCTTTATCATCTCTAGTTAAATTGCATTTTTTCCTATGGTCGTCAGCTATTTATCTAGGTACTTAGAAATAAGAATATCTTTCACAGCTAACTTCTGTCGAAAAATTGAAATTGAACTAGAAATGACAACGACAAAAGGATCACTATGAATTTTGATTTCAACTATTCCAGAATACATGAGGCACTTATATTTTCGTTTCACTCGATTGTTGTCTATAGCCGATATTTTCAAGATATAATCAGTAGTCAAAAATGTAGGTGTACTATAAATATGGAACTGAACAGCAATTCTATCAAGAATGAATTGAAGACATAGGAGTGTTCGTTTTTTATTAGATGTATGACCTAGGGGAAAGTGGCAGACTTTTGTACTTCAAATTACTTTATGCTACTTTGAAATACTTCGAGCTACTTCACGCCTATTTTGAGCTACTTTACAGGTACTTTGGGCTACTTTGACTACTTTGAGTTTCCAGAATCAGAACAAAAGTATTCTGTTTTTGGGAACCCATTCCCATAACAGAACACTTTGGTACACTTGGACGTAATTTTAAGTACGTTGTCGTACTTTAAAGTACTTTAACGTAATTTAACGTAATTTAAAAGTACTTTGAGCTACTTTGAAGTACTTTAAACTACTTTGTACCTTGTTGTACTTTTCTACTTCAAGTCTGCCGTTTCCCCCTAGTATATGACACTGCTGTTGTTTTTTTCATAAGATATGAAGTGTTATGTTTTCGCATTGAATTTTCGTTGGCCTTTCTTGTATGAACATATGTGATGAATATCTCTTTATTAATAGTAAAAGTATTAGTTCATTTGTTTTCATTGAAGACAATATATCGATACAGAAAAGTGCAAAGAAAACTTTGTGAGGAATAAAATCATTGAATGGAATGAAGTTTCTTATGATAACTCAATCGTGATCTATTGAAGTTGAGTCTAAATTCATCCTAGTTTATTTCATTCGAAATCTGATTTAATATTACCAATTTTACTCAATAGGAACAACAGTTAACCGTAAACTCACCGATACGTTGAAACATAAGGCGTATACCAACACGAGTCTGATTTTTGTTAAAAACTTCGTCGCCATTACTGGATCTCAATAAAGTCATTGTTGTTGATCGTAGTGGAATTTTCTCAAGAAATAAGTAATTAATAGATTATTGATTTATGCAATAATGTCAAAAGTATGTGATCAGATGATGAATTGTAGTCGTCGTATTGTTATACTTGTACCAACGTTCAATCTCAAAAAAAGTGTTTATGAGAATCATTGAATTTTATGAAACATTAAAGAAATTCACAAGAAAAGGAAAAGAAATGACTGAGCTACAAGAAAAGAAATCGACTTGATTAAAAACATTTACTCCGTGAATCACACGTGTAGAGTTTCAGTAGAAGCAGACCCCGTGCGAGGATCTCAGCATTGGGGGTGGGCGATGGAGGTGTAAGAGGCTTGTGGGGCAGCCAATATTAAGAGACGCAAAATTTCTTTTGCATCAGATCTGATAATCTTTCTCTTGCGACCAAAATGTAACAGTTTTTCGCGAAGCGATAAGTTTTTGCTACCGTCTTAGAAAAACTCGACTTCGATGGTAAATTTTCAAGAGAATTCGTGTCCAATTTGAGAAAATTTCTCAATACCTTTGTTGTCGAAGGCGGCCACTCTGGTGAAAATCGTTATAAATGAAGCTGTTTTGAAGAAAGCATTGGCTAAAGTAGGAGATTTTTCTAAGATAACTGCGGTTGCACGATTGTTGTTTTTCTCGAAGAAAATATTTTTTTCAGACTCATGAAAAACGCTTCTTTTCCTTATGCTGTTTGGAAGGAAATAGTGTTACAATAGCTTTTGGCAATTTTGCCGCCGACGGCGGCTACGTTGTGACAATTATTCAAAAGTGAAGCTCTTCAAAAGGAAGGCAGCAGTAAACTTTCCATAAAAGCGGAAAAATCACAGATATTTTTAGAGCGAGTATGCTCACGTAGTTAGTGTTTTTGAAGCGAAACGTTTTAATACCTTTTCAAAATTTTCTAGCAGAAAATTCCAAAAACTTTATTAATTTTGGTGATTAACAATAAATAATTTTCAATTATTGGAGGGGTTATACACTCTCCTACGCCCCCCCCCCCCCACTCACTTTTGCGGCAGCTGAGTAGAAGTCATCGTCTTTGGTGCATAGTACATGTTGAAACAAAAAAGTGCTCGTCATCATCATTACAGTACTAGTCATTTTTTATTTTTTCTCTCTACGTCAGTAAACGAATGTTTTATCGATCGAATATTGACGACCCACATTTCATAAATAAAGAAAGAAGCCGATTTCTTTGTATTCACTATAGGCGCTATATAGAGAGTCATTACGAGTGAAACCTCATTTATTTTATTTCGTTCAGAGCTTTGATAAAGTAAATAGACTCATTGAGTTGAAGGTGTCGAGTGATGAAAGAAAGATCACATTGGATCTGTTT